GACTGCAACAAACAAAGCAGTTTTGCCATACTTCCCAGTCTTGTTTACATCAGCACCAGCATCAATTAACTCCCGCACAATACTTTCATTGTCGTTTTCGATTGCAATAAACAAAGCAGTTTTGCCATCATCATCATCAGTCTTGTTGACATCAGCACCAGCATCAATTAACGCCCGCATAATACTTTCATTGTCGTTTTCGACTGCAATAAACAAAGCAGTTTTGCCATCATCATCAGTCTTGTGGACATCAGCACCAGCATCAATTAACGCCCGCACAATACTTTCATTGTCGTTTTCGACTGCAATAAACAAAGCAGTTTTGCCATCACTATCAATCTTAACATCAGCACCAGCATTAATTAACGTCCGTAAAATACTTTCATTGTCCTCTTTGACTGCACTAAACAAAGCCGTTTTGCCATCACTATCAGTCTTGTTGACTTCAGCACCASCATCAATTATCGMYCGTACAATATTGTTATTTTTACTTCTTAATGCATAAAACAAAGCTGTTTGACCATCGCTATCAGTCTTGTTGACATCAACACCACCATCAATTAACGCCTGTACGATACTTTCATTGCCCTCTCTGACTGCACTAAACAAAGCGGTTTTGCCACCATCGTCAGTCTGGTTGACATCTGCACCAGCATCAATTAACGCATCTACTAGTTCTCCATTACCGTTACTAACCGCGTAGAATATAGGAGTTTTTTTCTGAAATTTATTGATTGCATTAACATCAGCTTTAGCACCAATTAGTACGCGGGCTATATTTGAGTGGTCACTTAAAACTGCAAAGAATAAACAACTCTTTTCTTCTCTGTCTTTAGTATTAACATTTGCACCAGCCTTGATCAGTACACGAACCACATTTTCAAAGTTACCAAGAACAGCATAAAACAAAGGAGTTCTCTTCCAGGATTCATCAGTGATATTCACATCTGCTCCAGCGTCGAGTAAGCCACGGATCTCACTTTCATTGTTATTCTTGACAGCATTAAACAGATCCAAATTTCCATCTTCTTCCGACAGACTCATTTCTTCTTCACCAAACACCTACTCCTGAGTTTGTTATCTCTTTGGACACACTGTACATTATTCTAGCGCCATGTCGTATTCCACTGTCTTGCCCATTTTGATCAGTACATTACAGAACCTGTTATTTCTTTCAGTTGTTCTCTCCAAATGTAAGGAAGATCTTCTGATCTATAAAATCATATAAATTAATAATAATTTAGTCAATACATGACAGACTACGATGTTGAGATGTGGGATAAAACTAGTGCTTAGGAGATGGTGCGCATGCGTACGTGTACTACGAGTGCTAAAATATACACTTAACACTTTTTCTACGAGTAAAAATTGTCATTTAAAAAAAAACTTTGTTAGAAGTTTCTTTTTCATTATGCATTCTTTCGGAAATTAGAAAATAAATATAGTCTCGTGCAAAATTTGATTGTTGCCTTTTTGAAGCAAGGTAGCACGGCAGAAATATATTAGTTGATAGGTCTTCCTGTGGTATTGATGTACTGACGTGTACTGTTTTCCGCGAAAAATAACGTGGGCTCAAATAAATATCAAAGAAAGCGGCGTACATGAAATTAACATTAGAGACTTTTAGCATAACGTTCTTGCTAGCCCCGCAAGCCTCAAACTGCAATTCGACGCMAGGCGTTTTCCGTCAAACTTTTGACATGGGGCCACCCGGCCGTTGGCACGATGGAGTCACCACAGGTGTGTGATAATACGACACGGAAAATGTTCAATTTCTGGCTTGTGTCTTTGTAAGTAGAGTTACAGACGGTTTATCGTCTTTCTTTTTGTCAGAAAACGCTTCTTATAGGTCACGTAACCTGTGACGTCACGTTATCAGAGGGGTGGGTACCATAGTTGGCATACAGAGACTTTGGTAAGATAATTACGTCAAATAAAAGGTTTGTTTCAAAAACTGGSTATAGTGTTATCCTAGTAAATCATGTGATGTGACGTCATACACCTAAAATGGTCGGGGTGACTGACAAGTTTCTTAATCACAGCACTACACGCATTGTCGAGGAGAAACCAGGACAGGGGTCACCAGAGGTGTAGGGCCACCAAACCACAGACGTTGGTGGAATGTGCCTTACCCCTTCTCTAGCAAGGCGCCATAACGAAGTTGTTGCTGGAAGAGCCGCCATATTGAATGTCATTGATGCCGATTGTTTCTCCCTGTTTTGTTTTTTGTTTTGGCCTGATTCCAAGCGGTTAGCGGTAAACACGATGTTAAAGGTCTCTATTATTTTGACTTAGGGACTGCTCATAAAGTATGAGGGGGGGTGGGGCAAAATCAGAATAGAATCAGTGTTTTTTTATCTTGGCCCATCATAAAATGGTGAAAATGGGATGACCCAACCCCAGTTTAGAAGCAAAATTGCAGATGACCCACCCCTGAAAAATAATCTAAATCCCAAAAGAATTTTCTTGGTTGCACACGTCTACCACTTATTGTAACATTGACTGTTTCGGCTTCTTCTTTCTCTGTCATCGTTTTCCTCACTATCAGTAATTCCTATTTCATGAGTAACAATGTCAGTTTCTTCGTCGCTATCCAAATCTTCAGCATCCTCATTAGTGTCCTCATATGAATTATCATCATCTTCAGTGTCTTCGCGTGAAGTACCATCTTCTTCATGTTCTTCCTCTGTTGTACTTGTCGTAGTATTTAAAAGCTGCATAGACAGCCCAGCATTTATTACTTGGACTTTCTCACTTTTGTACATTTCGCGCTTGAGCAAGTCGTGCTTTTTTTAAAAAGAG